AATTCTATCATTATGACGATCATAATTATCAAATCATGCATGAAAAGGGTGATCAGTAATTGTCTAAGTATAGCAAATAAGAATCATAATTGGAGCATATTATTTGCCATGTCAAACGGCGTCCAATGCTAGCTATAACTCGCTGTAACATTACATAGAATAGGAATCGTAAGCTATTAATACAACACATTAAAATTGGGAACTCCCATTAATATATGACTGACAAAATATACAATCACTTAATTCCTAACTTACCAGACTCATAACTGGCAATAATTAAAACACTGGGAACATTAGAACTTCTAAAATCTGGCAAAAGGGAGAGCAACAATTTCCCATACTTCTGTTTCAATTCAAAATGTCGGCGCCAAGCTCAACCGAAGCTGGCATTTCCTTAACAACACAACAGAGGACGCCATTAAAGCTATCGCGATCAGCACAATCCATTAAAAAAAATTAGGAGACACATTTTCTAAATTCAATAATTTATATGCTCAAGCTAATAAAAATTATGTTACTGCAAAATGAGCAATTTAATTTCAAAATATTTTTTTTTTGTTTTCTGTTTTTTGGTTTTTTTTTTTTTTTTTGGTCATTTTCAGAGAACAATACATCTTAGTAATAGGCCTGTCGATTAATATTATGTTTTACAAGATGATGGTAATTAATAAATATTGATGCTTTACATTCAATTAACAATGATGTACAATCCCTAATATAATTAATATTGCACTCAAACAATCCCTGTCATATGGTTGGCTAATGTTTTGTTGGATTAATGCTAAAACACACAAACGTTGCTATCTTTGCATGTTTGATTATTTTCATAATAAAAAATTGTTATAGTTGAGGGTATTCTTAACCGTATAAAAGTAATAACTATACAGCCAGTCGTACACAGTCCAACGTGCAACAGGAGTAAGGTTAAATTTGGTGTGTCGACAGCAAAGCATGAAATTCTGCTAGAGTTTATATATTTTTTGCCAAACTTGGACATGAGTAACAATAATATGCGCCAGGTGAATGTAAATTTTGTACCAGAAGAAGGTACGTTTGCCGGATTTGTTACTGTAGATGGCGAAAGGTATCCACCGATGGTGCGAGATGACATGGCCGAAAATGTGAGAGCGTTTGAAGTGAGGGACAGTGATGTCTTCGTGGTTACCTATTCAAAAGCAGGTAGGTCTAAGGTATTACCACCGTGTGTGTGGGAATATCATCGGAATTAGATTTAAAAAGTGTTAATGCAATATTTATTTGTTTGTATAACAGAAACAGGTTGTTTGATAACGACATTATAGTAACGTGTCCAGTTATGTGCTTGCTTGTTTGTTTGTTTTCCCCCCTTAATGTCATTTCAGCAACTCGTGTTATTGCAAGAGGTATATTGTTTGTACGACAGAAACAGGTTGTTTGGTGACGACAGTATAGTAACGTATTCAGCTACTTGCTTGTTTGTTTGTTTGTTTGTTTTTTAAATGTTTTTTTCTCAATTTTATTTTTTACTGTGAAACTCAAAATACAAGCAATATTGACAACACCACTTATGCATGCGCCAACTGAATTTGGTTTGCGTACCAAAAGAGGGCGCTTTTGTCGGATTTAGAAAAGAGGTAGACGGCAATTAGGTATCCAGCGACTGCGAGACATGTTGCTTCCCGGTATTCCACATTTCATGCTAAAAATTAAATCATTCTTTCTGGCCGATTTTCAGAACAAATTGTTTATGTTAATAGAAACACCACCTACTTTAAATAGCATTTATATTAAGAATTTGAATCTCACTGTACCTAAGTGGCGTAGTGTATTGACATTGGGGGGGGGGGGTGGATAATCGATTAAGTGAATGCGCTATTATGATACGATGTCTAACGGGGGAATATTATTCTGTTGAAAACAATGCTTTGAAAACTTGTTCTCAGTGTCTGAAAGTGCCATTGCTAGGAATCTAAAAATGTGCTCTTCTTGGCGGGCGTATCGGAATCCTTCTTCGGGGAATATCTAGCGCTGCTGACATTGTTTTTAACTTCTTTGAGTGGATTTTGTTGTGCTAAGAAAATTTCTAGTGGTAGAGTAGTATAAGTCCTGGAGTGCATGGATTTTTTTTTCAATATTATAAAATACAATGGAGAAGAAAAGAAAATTTTATTCAAATTCAAGTTTGAGAGTGCCATTAGCGATGATCTATACAGTAGGTGCCATAATTATAAATTTTCTTACCTCAGCCCCAACTATGGTGAAGCTGAGGTGGTATTTTCCCCCAATCTGTTAAAGTCCTTCCCTGGCACCTTTTATTTCGAATCCACTTTAGGCTGATCAGGGAACAGTTCTGACATTGGCAAAGTACACATTTTATGTCGGCCCGCCACTGGTCTCAATTGATTGGAAACTAGCCACCAGCTAAACGGTTGAATACCCATGGTAAAGCTAAAATCGGCATTAACGGGCGACACTCAAAATCTGTCGGAAGTAAAAATTAAAGCTTTAAATAATTCATTTTAGAGTCTATTATAATGTAAAAAATACCCATCATTTTTTGCTCCTCAAAGAAATTCCGGGCCCTGCACCTCCCCGGCACCCAACAGGCACCACCCCTGTTTTCCATTATATATTACTCCTGTTTCATAATATAAGTGCCCATATTATATACTCATAATCATGAACCAAGACGTGGCATTAAGGCATGTACACGCATATCGTTGCCTAAAGCTAATATTGACGTTTTCGTTGCATTATCTCTATGCCTATTGGTTATTCCTTTTGATTTATTAATCTAATGAATAAATTGCAACTATGCATTTTCCACGGTACCATCAAATGTTCTGATACTGAGCGATTTTGTTTGTTTTAGCGTAGATGTAAGTCATCCGATTTTTTTTTACCGTGTATATTCTTATCATTGAATCAGATTATGTTCAACAGTGGTCTAAACTGACTTATTTAAATCAGTTTCCAATTTAAATGCTAAATAAAGGAGTGTTGTATCTATACTAATTATAATACATTTCTTTTTACATACCATGTCGGTATTGTATTTCATTAATATAAGTTTTCCATCGCGACGATCGCGAACCTAAGACGGATTCACTAGTCCACCGTGACCGACCAAAACCCATTTTCTGCACAAAGTAGATTCGGCTCAAAAGTATACTACTTAAAATTCATAGTAAAAACTCAACTGTTTTTCTGCTCTTCTACTGTAAGCCACCCGGTTTTAATACTGGGATGCCCTTCTGGAATATTTCTTCATAATAAAAGATATTCTCGGTTTTCCACGTTTACATTTATTTAGTGTTCAAGTGGGACAGGTTTATATATATATATTTATTGCTTTCTGATGTGTACGTTTCTCACTTTGATCATGATGTTTCTGTGCATTTCTGGAATGATTTTATGGAAAGCAATATATATTACTTACTATCAACGTCTTCACGCGTCAAGATGACTGTATGTGACGTCATTACGTTGTACAATGTCGAAAGCTCTAAAAACATTGACGCGTAGCACTATTTGGTATCCACAAGGTGGTATTTTTTAATTCTGTGTTAATATGATAATGAATTTAATTAGTATTTTCAAACAAACGTTAAATAAAACTCCATCTTTTAAAGTACAAAGAAAAAAGATTACTATGAGATCAGTGATCATGTAAACCAAATTCATACTAGTACCGGTACGTCTTGGTTTTTGTGGCTTTTCGCTTATATCTGCGAAATAATTCAAAACGTGCATGTGGACTTAAAGTTGAGAGGACCCTTTTCACTTATTTTTTCCCTGCATTATATGTGAAACAGAAGGAAAAAACTGCTCACTAAAGTCAACACAATTGTAACTCATGTTTTAACCAAAGACTTCTTTATTTTTTTATGTTTTATGTAATTTAATTTTTATGTAATTTATTTATCAACGTGACTAACTTTTGAACAGAATACAATTTTATTTAATTATGTTCAACATTTTTTAACGAAATCTGAAAGATTTACAGGTTAAGTTATTTTTATATATTGTTGATCATCATCTTTAGTATTATTATTATTATTATTATTATTATTATTATTATTATTTATTATTATTATATTATATTTAATTTACTTATTGTGATTTTTTTTTAACTTTTGCGCTGCAACGCTGCTGATAATTTGTATTGATATATTTACAGGATCCTCGAAGCTAAGGCTGTGCCTTGTGATGAGCCACCATGTGAAATATTGAATTAAAACAATCAATTATTACTATATTAAAAACATTCGCTTAATTAAAAACGTTAAAAACATTGTTGATAATTTCTTCTACATTTTTAAAAAATCTTTTCATCAGGAACTCACTGGATGACAGAAATTGTCAAGAGTGTTTTAGCCGATGGTAATTATGAGAAAGCGGAGAAGATGTTTATGATCCATCCCAAGCCTATTGAGTACTTCAACTCAATTGCGGACATGTCCAAAATGTCACGTGACCACCCACGTGTCATCGTTACCCATCTTCACGAACAGATGCTACCCAAAGAAATTTTCAAAGGCAAAGCAAAGGTCTTCATATGCTATGTTTTTTTTAATCTTCTTAGTTGTTTTATTTTTATTACATGAATTTGAATTTGTAATCAGTTTTGAAACAAATAGAAAAATGCTGAAACTCACTTTAAGATGTTTATATTAAAACTCCGGCAAAAAAATGGAAAGTCATAAACAATTTTAAGCCTGCCTTGGAATTCTTTAGTGTTTCTATACTAATAAGTATTCAAAATTAAGACAGGGTAAAACCAGTCTACGTACGATAGCATTTCGACCTGGGCATGCATAACAGATCTCAATACAGTCTGGAGAAACCCGCATATAATGACATGATGGACGACTGCTTAATCTATAGCAGACAGTATGTTACAATCACAATTCTGTATAATCATAAATCAAAGAGGCGATAGACTATGCCAAACGGGGTGTGAGGAGGGGAGAGAACAAAGTGCCGACGGTAAGGGGACCAGGTGATAGGTGGTTTCCCCCGGAACAACTCGTAGGGGATCCAGGGAGCGAAAGCCCCTGGAAACTAGGTTAATTTAATTATTTAAAAGGCTTATTCATTCAAATATCACAACCCGAAAAAATACGACGAATTGTTTCTTTTCTCCCTTGCTAGAAGGGCCTTGCCCTAGCCTAAACGGCGCACACCTGCTCTTTATCCTCCCTTTGAATGTAACAATAAGTAAACACGTAAAAGAAAAATGCCCAATCACAGCGAGCCATCCCCAATATTAATTGAGATCATTGTACTTTTTAAAATCGCCTGTCCGTTAATTTATTTTTACTGGAATGATAGAAATTTATTTCCTTCATCAACATAATGTTCTTTTGCACAATATTGATTTACAGCCATCATAACAGATTAGTCTTTTTTTTATTCAACCTATCGATTTTATAAGATTTTACTCGACAAAAACACAAGTGACTATAACGCATTTACAAAATCTATGGTTCTTAATTAATTTTTAGGTTGTCTTTGTTATGAGAAACCCAAAAGATTCCGCAGTGTCATATTATCACTTTGCTCAACCGTATCGCTATAGTGAAGAGTGGGATACATGGGACCGCTTTTTCCAGTCGTTTATGTCCGATGATAGTAAGTAGTGACGTCATTTTTTTGCATGTATAGCTTGATTTCCATACAATCACTACATTGTCGCTACAGTGCTTTCAGTGCAGTCGTTGTATAAAGCCTGGTTTCCGTAAAAATCGCCACACGCTTGCCGACTCATTTGGCGACGCTGATTGGTCAGTTGAATCAGGGGGCGTTCCCGATTGCGTCGGAGACAGCTACGCAGTTCACGAATTGCAGTGAAAACGCTGTAGCGATTTGTGTGGCGATTCTATGGAAACCGCGGGCTTTAAGCTCGGTTTCCAATATACAACCGCTCACCCTATCGGCGACGGCCGCCGACAGTTGTCAGGAAGGTTGAACCTGGTTCAACTTAGCCATTGCGTTGCAGACGAATCAGGTGCATTGCTACCTGCCCAGACGTAATCAGGAAAGCACCCCATTCCTCTGCAACGCAATTCAGACAGCTGTCGACGATCGGGTGAGCGATTGTATGGAAACCAAGCTTCACGTAGCAGTCCCCGACGCAATCGGGAAGGTTCTCCGATTCGACCGACCAATCAGCATCACCGAATGCCGTTGGCGATCGTGTAGCGATTGTATGAGAAACCAAGGAGGAGTGACTCGCAGGTTGCAATAGGGGCCTAAATTATTTAATGCTCTTTAAGTCATAATAAGGGGTTATGGAGTGAACGTACTAGTATTAGTCTGTAGGAAAAACCCCAGTATGCATGATTTGAACACAAGACCATTATTATGATTATGGAAGGCAAGCATCTTAACCGCCAGTATACAGTTCCCTCAAGATCTGTCGTCATAAACATGTGCACATTACATAAATTAGGGTTACTTTGTCTTCAAATTAAGGGTGAAGAACTCAGACCTTTATACTTTTCCAACAAGAACATTGTTAGGCTTAATGAGGCCAACAAAAGTTAGACCATGAAAATCATCATTGAATTGACTTTAAATTCACATTACATATCAAATGTTTTGTTCAAATTTTCAAGCATACGTTTGGGGTAGATGAATACTTGATACAAAATATTGATTTTAAATATAAGCGAATCTTTGATAGGGTATTTTGGAACTAGGGGTATAGATGGGTAAAAACAGAAAGAAAGGACAGATTATGCAATTTATGTAACTTAGATAAAATAGAAGATGAATAGGCCTATCGTTTTGTTTTAATTTGTCACTACTTAATGATATATATAAAAATACTACATTATGTTTTAACAAAAACAATTCGATAATACAGTTCTTTAATTTAATGTCCTCTAAAGATATGAATATTGTTATTAATTTATTAAAATACGTATATCATGCATATAATTAAAGGAATATATATTTAGAAACCCTCATTTTAATTTGTAGTTGTTTTATTATGTTAAAATGACAAGAGGCCTATTTATTGAACAAAAGCCTTCGGGCACAGAAGTGTGTTTGTTCTTTTCTTTATTTCTCTCATTTATCAGTTAATGAATATAATTGATTTTAAAATTGTATTCATTCACAGTGCCAGGTCGTTCGTGGTTTGATTACAATTTGACATATTGGAAACATCGCAACGACAAAAACTTCTTCATTACAACCTATGAAGACATGAAAAAGGTACTCACAACACCACAATGTTGCAATAACACACGCATGTATAGACTGTTTATATAGGTACTTACACCCACGTGCTCATGTCCAGTATTATCATATCAAATATTGTACTGAATATGCCCTTTTTTTAATTAGGATATCAAAGCTGTTATTGAAGGAGTTGCAGATTTTCTAGGTCATCCTGCTTCGGATGAAGTCTTAGAGAAACTTGTACATGTTGCAGATTTTTCACGGATGAACAAGAAATTCGATGGCCGACTTCCGATCGGATCCGTTCCTGAACCAATTCGAACCAAACTTCCGTTCAAAATATTGAGGAAAGGTAATATCACGATTTATTGATTAAGACGTTTTTGTTAGGCCTAATTAATATCTGGATCCTAAAAGTTAAGAATCTCACAATGTTTTTGCAGCGAGACCATGGCATCCGTAATCTCTAATTACACTCTTCAATTTTTGTAGTGAAGTGACGGGTACCTCGTACTGTTTATTTATGTTAATAAAATGTATTCCATACCTCCATGGTACAACATACTATTGCTCTTTTCTTTTTTACATTAAAGAACATATATATTTATATATTCCATACCTAAAATGTGACATCTATCTATCACAAAACTAACCCTACTTATAAATTAAGCATGGTTGGCCGTGAGCTCCAAGGATCCCATCTGAACTTAAATTCAATTCAACTTTATTTTATTACACATAAATTTAAAATACTTATTGTAGAAACATACTGGTTAGTTAATAACAATATATAGGCCTAGAAGAACATTCAAATTTAGAATTATTAAACTATTAAATTGAACATATCTTTGCAACTATGAATGAACAGGGAATTTGTAGCAAAGATCATCAGAAAAGAAGCATGCTATCAAATTTCAACAAATATTTTTTGCCAAAATAGGATATAATTACATGTCTCTATTTACACAATAATGGCAGAGTTAATCAGTTTCAATAGGACCACTGTTGTAGTAAAATATGTAATCACCAACAACAAGATTGTTTTGACTTTTATATCACTGAACATTTCTAACGCCTATGTGATAATTATGGAAATGAGCAATACAGTGGTTTAATTGGATTTTGCCAACATTGAGTCTTTAAAACCGATAACAAGTACGATGACGTCATGATGAATTAATTATAACATAATTGTTTATTTCAGGAAAAGTTGGTGACTGGAAGAATTTATTTACAGTTGCACAAAACGAAATATTTGACCAATTCTATGAAAAGAAAATGCGAGGATCCAGTATGAAGTCTCGCATAATATTTGAGCTTGAATAAAAAAAAAAAGTCAACGGAAGTTCACAGGCATCCTATCATCGACGTTTTAAAACATAAATAGGCGGTGTCTTGACGACCAACACTACGATTATAGATAGATAGAATAACCATTCTAAAACAATAAAATAAACTTTGAAGGCTGATATAAGCAGCCATAATTGTGTAAATCACGGAAACTGTGACGTTGTATGGAATTGCATTTATAATAACAATATTAATACAATTATTAATTTAAAAAATACCTATTAATTTATTATACTTCATACTTAATTCTGGATGCTTGTTATTTTGTGCAGTATATTAAATTTTTTAATCGTGAACTTTTAATGTGCTTTAATGTACGTTTTGTACTCCTTTTCCCCTTGGTTGGGTTTGAATTAATTAATTGAATTAATTGATATGGATAATATTCCTTAAAATCAATTATGCCAACTATTAGATTAAAAAAAACAACAACACTAGAATGATGTTAAATGACAAATAATAAATCTAATATTTGTTTATATTTTCGGAAGAATGCCAAAAAAGAACCATAGATCAACAAGTTCACGAGGGCGCCCTAATTATTATATTTAGGTTTTGTGGATCAAGCATCCATACTAACTGCACAGTGTCTCTATACTGTTGCTTAAGTTTATATTCACTGATGCTTATGTATTTTTTCACCTTGACAGATATGTTGATCATTGATCTTGTGTCTAGTATTTCGGTGGTCCTGAAAACATTTTTTTCCAGTAGATTAATTTCATTAACTGGAGTGTTTACATCAGACAAAAAGAAATGACCAAACTTTCAGATCCATTCCTCGATATAGTTTGTGTTGATTCCATAATATCATTGTTTACTTACGCTTTTAACTATGAGTATAAATATCCACTCACTATAAATGAAAAAGAATAAATGTCATAACCAATCACATAGTATTATTTTGTCAATGTGTTAATTTGAACTTCATTGGACATATCTGTCAAATAACCTAACAACATATTTAATGAAGACCTTGAAATCACTATTGTTTATTTGGGCCAATGTTTTGGTCCAATGACCCCTGACCTGAATGCACTTGCCGACCCCCAAGATGTCAGTAGACCCCAGGATCAGAGAACTTTGGTATTAGCGAACAAAACTGCATTGCAACATCACCTGTTAATAATAATAGAACTATCTGTAATAGTAACTCTATGTTTTGTTTTTATAAGCTAACTTCATAAACAATTCAAAACCATTATTAAAGTAGCCTAATTATCAGACTTCAATATTATACTAATAGAAATTTTACAGATCCATAAATTTCCCAAAACGCATTTCTATGTGCATTTTTATATTTTTTTGCAAAATGATGATTTTTAGAAACAAAAACGTAAATTAATGAGCCTAATATCAATAGTATTAATAATAGGTCTGTTTTTACATCTTGATTAGGTTTAGGCCTATCTATGTATTTCTTAATTGAATAATTAATTTAATTTTTTGGGATGGTTCTTGAAAACCTGCGGAATATAAACAACAACAACAACAATAATAATAATAATAATAATAATAATGATGATGATGATGATGATGATGATGATGATGATGATGATGATGATGATGATGATGC